CTCGGGAGACTATTTGAAATAATTTATGTTCAAATGGACGTCTATCACGCATTATTAATAATCGAACTTTATCAAATTTTCCACCTTGAAAACAGCTAGTCATAAATAAGAAATCATCGAATTGATATGGAAGAGAATAAACATTACAATTGCCTCTATTATTGATAAGTTTATTATCGGCAAATATTCCAAATGATTGAATTTCTCTTCTTATGAAACTATTCTGAATGACATCAGTTGATACAGGATTAATTTCATTACGATAATTGATAATATGAGTATGTATATTGAAGATAAATTTTTTTAATTGTGACATATTATTAAGAACTTCATCATATAATTGATTACCATCAATATAAGTTGATTCAGTTCTTACTACTGATATATATAACGTTAGTTCTTCAAGATTTAACATTCGATTAAGTAAGGGAACAACTTGTGTATCATAACCATATGTATACCAATTTGTTTTTAATGAAAAATATTTCAATTTGACTAGTTTTTTCTAAATAAAATAATATAATCAATAGATTTTAAAGATAAATCTTTTTATAATCCATTACAACAAATATACTTACTGTATTATCTATGTTGGATGATGAAGAAACTATTTTATTGATACGAATTATCAACGTTGATAAAGATGGAAGAAATCCATTGAGAAGATAAAGACAATCATTAAATGTTTCAACAATATCATCAATTTATTAAGAGTTGAAGATAAACAACCTGTGTATGACATATTTGAATAGGAAAGTTTTATATAGTCTTCTAAGCATCGATGAAAATATGTCAAATCAGTTAAACATTTGCTGAGACATACTATGGAGAAAAATATACTTGATTTAATGATACAAATTGTTTGTTTTCTTTCAGAAATTTCGACTTTAATGTGTGTTATTTGATTTGTAAGAAGACGTGACATGACATCATCTGAAATGGAAATAAAAAATGTTAGTGATTCATAGAATGAAATTAAGTTTATAACTGTACTTGTTAAATGTTCTAATAGCGTTTCTGGTTGATGATAATTAACCAATGATAATGAATATAAGTTTGGATAATCAACGGCACCAATCACACGTTCCATAGAAAGTGGTTCCAGAGTGAGTTTAAGTATTTTTGTATTAATTCGAGGTAAAACTTTGTTACAAATTCTATCGAGAAAATAGGTACCTTTTGGCTGATTATGAATATAATCTCGTTTCATCTCAAAATCGAGATTATGAATATATAAAGAATCAAAGACTAATCGGTCAAATCTTAGATTAACATCTACTAATGAATATTGTACATCGATCATATTTAGTTTATTGATAATAGCACGTAGCATTTCATCTGGTAGATCGAGTATACTAACATTGCTCTTATTTAAAAAATTCATGTCTAATAATTCTTTGACCTCGGTCATTCTCATCTGCTTTCTATTTTTTTCTCATTCTCTGCATATATACATTGAATATGTTATCTTTTTTTTGCCGTCCATGAGAATAATATTATATGGTCATGTTAGGTGATGATAAATGTGTGATGTTATTTTTTTTTCTTTTTGTCTACAATTTGTTTTCGTTCACAGGAAAAAAATTGTGATCGTCACACTATTTGATAAAATAACTGCATTTATCATATATAAAATACATTTTTAACAAAAAATGTCATGATTAGATTAAGTTGAAATAGAATTTAAAAAATATTTGAAATATTTTGTACTTATTCTTCATTAAACAACAGTATTTATATACAGTGCTGGACAAAAGTTCTGGGACAAAGCAGGAATATTCCATCAGATATCTAATACTATATACAACAAATGATTAGATGAAGCTGAAAATTTCAGAATTTGTAGTTCTCTTAATGAGACAATATTGTTCATAAAAATAGTTCTGAAAAATCTATTGGCATCGTAGTTTGCTGAGACTAATAAAAATGACATCTCTAGACACTTCACGTTCCTATCGATCTGGATTCAAGTAAATGAGTTCTTCATGAAACCTTCAGGATATATTGTGAGTAGTGTCGCTAGCACATATCCAAAGTTTCAGCTCATCTCGTCATATCAATTCCAAGATATTTGAACTTTAAGGTCGAAACATAGCACTTTTTCGGTGTAGAACTTCTTCCTGCTCAAGTTTTCTCTATACAAAACACGCTAGTCACGGGTATTTGAAAATAAAGAATGCATCAGAATACAGTCATTGCTACAAATGTTAATCAGTTGCATGTCTGTATATTAACTTCTAAAAATTTCCCATAACTTTCTTTTTTTTTCAATAAAATCCGTCACTTTCTTTTATTGCTGAGAGATAAGCATTTTGAATTTTTCTATATTGTAGAAAAATTATTCAGATTACAATATGACTCACGAGAAAGATCCTGAGAAGCTTTCTAACGAGG